GCACACATCACAGACTTTTTTGTTGGGTTATCGGGGAAAGAGTTTACCCTCTGGCCTAGGTGAAGTGGCTGCTAAGGTTTACAGGGGCTTCTGATGGTAAAAAGCCCATGTAAATAAGCAATAGTCAGGGCTGGAAGAGTGCCCCCGAGCAGGAACTGTCTTTCAGAAATAAGTGGTTGTAGCAGTCTGACTTGGATGGTTGTCATTCATTCAAAGCTGCCAAGTACCAGGGAAAGGCTGATTGTCATGGTGACAAATCACCTAGCCTCCAACACCCTTTTGTGTTTTTTTCTTTTTAAAGACAAATTAAAGTGGATTCTTAACATGAAATCCTATCATAGACACTGACAATGCTTAAACACACACACACACACACACACACACACTGCATGGGCTCATGCAGAGGCCAGCTGATGTCTTGCTCTCTCTGCCTTATTGTCTTCATTGGCTCTGAGGACCAGAAAGCCTCTTGTTTCACCACTGCCTCCCCAGCCTTGGGCTTCCAGGCATACAGATGACCACTCAGTTTTGGTTTTGTTTTTTGTTTTATTTTTTTTTTTACATGGGTGCTGGAATTTGAACCCAAGTCCTCATCCTTTCTCAACAAGATCTCTTACTTGCCCAATCTCCTAGTGTTTCTAATTATTTAATTTAAAATCGTTATTGATAAACAGGTCACATAAGTATAATTTTCCCATTTATACAATTCAATGACTCTTCGTGTGGCGTATTCATAGGAATTTCAAAACACTTGGCAATTCCAACATGCCTAAAACGTGTTGTGCTCATATTCAGCCGATTAGCCTCTTCTCCGTTGCGTTCCTGATGCTCTTCCTGCTTCCGTCTCCTTTTTGGTGTGACTCGTGTGCAGGTAGCCACAGCTTCTGTGTGTTGTCGAGTGCCATGGTCACAGCATGTCCAGGAGACAGCATTTCACAGTGTTCTTCACCGTCATCCAGCTCTTAGGATCTTTCCAGCCCTCTTCCTCAGCATTGCCTGGGCCTTGGTTAGGATTGACCACTCCTCGGTCACTCACTCTCAGCACGTATGAGTGACTTCTGAGTCCACTCATGAGTCACGGCAATACTGTCAGCGCTGCAGACGGCCGAATCTTTGTCCAAGGCTGAGTGCAGCACAAATACTCAGAAGGCAGTTTTAGATGTCCACTTAGCCCAACCAGTAGTAGACCCCACCCCACCCTGCCTCTTTCAGAGTCTGCCATCTCCTCAGCCTTGGACTTTTAATAAGGCTCACAGTGCTAGGCACGAATTCCTTGCTGTAGAGCCAATCAGTGGTTAGCTGCCCCCAAAACAGTCATGCTACTGTTGCGCCAACAGGCACAGCTTGCCTTGTCAGTTGGTCTGGTAGCAGGCAGGACCCACAGTTGGGTAAAATAGTTGATGATTTTTCTGCCCCAGCAGGCTACAAAGCACATTCTGGTACCATTAAACTAACTAGCCATCAGGGAGGAAGCTTCCGGTTCAGTTCCAGCTTGATCTATTTGTATTCTGCAACCAAAGTATGTGGTGCCTTCGGCGATATGAGTCTACCGTCTAGTTTTGGTGGACAACCATGAGAAACGGCCATAGGCTGTATTGTTTGGAGGGCCTCCCTGATGAAAGACTCATTGGCATTTTATGTATGGCACTGAGATTTTCATTTAGTGACTTTGGCTTCTAGGAGTATGCAGACACGTCAAGTCATGTTTTTAGTTTTTAATTTTTTATAAATAATGTTTTCAGTTGGTGTTCATGCTTTTGGTTAATCATCCCTGATACCCCATCTTTTCCCCATCCCCCGCTCCACCCCCATCTTAACACTTCCCACACCTCATATCCCTCTCCTCTTTAACCTCACCTGTGCGTTCCTACTTCCCTTTAGGGTCTCTCCCTCGCCATGGTTCTTTTCTTGCTTTCTGACCTCTGTTTTTTCTCACTCCAGTTTGAACACAGAATCCTGAAAAAATTCAGATCTAAGGTCCACAAATGAGAGAGAGCATGAGGCATCTGACTTTCTGTGTCCAGGTTGCCTCACCCTGTAGGATATTTTCCAGTCCTATCAATTTGTGGGTTCTGAAGTACAGTAATTTTAGTATCTGTGCTGGGTAGTTTTATATAACCTGACACAAGCTATAGTTATCTGAGAGGAGGGAACTTCAATGGAGACATTGCTTCCATAAGGCAAGTCTGCAGGGCATTTTCTTCATTAGTGCTGGGGGGGGGGGCAGCCCATTGTGGGTGGTACCACCTCTCCACTAGTGGTCCTGGGTGCGGTAAGAAAGCAGTCTGAGCAAGCCAATGACGAGCAAGCCAGTAAGTAGCACGGCTCCATGGCCTCTGCATCAGCTGCTGCCTCCAGGTTCCTGAGCTGCTTAAGTTCCTGTCCCAACTTCCCGGATGATGAACTGTTATATGGAAGGGCTAGTGAAATAAACTCTTTCCTCTCCAACTTGCTTTTGGTCATGGGGTTTCATTCCTGCCATAAAAACCCTAAGACAGAATACAGGGAGCTTTCATGTTCTTACAGAAATGTAACTATGGAAATTGAATACTTTTAATGTTTTCCTCCTATAATTCCTCAGCATGTAAATATCAAAAATATCAAGTTGGTATATCTTTGTATTGAATTAATTTTTTTTTTGTTTTTGTTTTTGACAGGGCATCACTGTAGCCCTCAATGCTCTGGAACTCACTGTATTCCACAGCTCCTCTTCCCCCTCCCCTGCTCTTTTGTTCTTTTTGCCTCCTCTTTCGATTACATCCTGAGCCTTGGTGGTGGGGTGTGGCTATAGGTCTGAGCACTGCATTAGAACTTTGAAGTCTTAAAGAGACCTTGGACTTTTAGAATGCTAAAATTTATAAAGACAAGTGTTTGACGATTGAATCCTGATATTAATCCAAGAATCTGGGGGACAAGAATTGAACAGTTAAGCTAAAGTGCTCTGTTTGTGTAGCAGGTTGATGAGGGAAGAGCCCACTGTGGGTGGTACAATTCCTAGGCTAGCCATCCTGCACTGTAGAAGAAAGCTAGCTAAGCACCGGCCTGAAAAGGAGCCAGCAGGCAGTGTCCCTCTGATATTTCTACTTCAGGTTCTTCCTTGAGTTCCCGGCTCCCCTCAGTGATTGGTGGTGACCTGTGAAATGAAGTCAGTCCTCCGCCATCCTTGGTTGCTTTTGGCTGTGGTGTCTGACACAGTGGCAGAGTGAAACTGGAATCTAGGGTTAGATCCTCGTTCTCCTCGGTGCCGTGGCTAAACCTTTCTCTCTGCCTCCTGGCTAAGCCGATGCTATTGAAAGCTACCAGGCTCTGCTTCCATTCTCGTGATCCTTCTTTGGGACTTTGGCTTGTCCCCACGCTGCAGCCAGTCAGAATCTCAGTCGTGTGTACCCATGTCCCACCCATCACGCCGTCTCTCTGCTTGACTCCCTAATGGCCATGTCCCATTGAGTCAGTAGACGGTTTAGGTCTTCATCAGGCCCTCCCCACTTGTCACCACACTGCCCTCAGCCCCCATCACTCTCAGTCACACACCTTCTTCATTCACAGCCTCCAACCAAAAAACGCCAACTACAAGACCTACAACGCTCCAGCTGCTCCGCCACGGCATCCTAGCGGCTGGATGTAGAAGACGCTGCCTGGTTCATAATAAAACTCTTGAAAGAAATATTTATACTTATTATATTCTTGGCTCCATTTTTCTTGGACCCATTCCAGACAGATTTGCCCCTCCATCATGCCACCAGAAACTCAGTAAGGACTCGAATTGGCTGTGTCATCTTGTTCTGCCATGTAATGCAATAGAACGGGAGCTTAATATGCTCTTTCAGCCTGGCACTCAGCACCCTCCTCGGTTCTCTGGGCTGGTTTGAGTGGGAGCGGTCCCCAGAAACTCGGGTCTTTGAACACTTGGTTCCCAGCAGGAGACATTAGTTGAAGAGGTTTGGATGGGAGAGACTTGGTGGTAGAAGTCCCTCACGAGGTTTTTGAAAAGTAAGGGCTTTGCCCAGCTTCCTGTTTTTTCTCTGCGTGAGTTTGCAGTTGAGATGTGATCTCTCAGTTTCCTGCTCGGGCCTTCTGTTGCTGTGCTTCTCCCCTTCAGAGCCATGAGCCAAAACATAATCGTTTTCCTATAAGTCGCCTTTGGTCATGGTGTTTTATCATAGTGTGATATTTTGAAAGAAAATGGCCCCCAAAGGGAGTGGCACTATTAGGAGGTGTGGCCTTGTTGGAAGAATTGTGGTCTTGTTGGAGGAAGTGTGTCACTGTGGGCTTTGAGGCTTCCTGTCCTCAGGATACCCCTCATGCCTGCAAGATGTAGGACACTCAGCTATTTCTCCAGCATCATGTCTGCCTGCATGCTGCCATGCTCCTCGCCATGATGGACTGAACCCCTGAACTGTAAGCGAGCCACCACAAAGAGATGTTATCCTTTATAAGAGTTGCCAAAGTCCTGGTATCTCTTCATGGCAGCAGGACCCCTAACGACGACCCACAGCAACTGTGGAGTAACTGATTCATTTCCCTAGCATCATCTCTGTTCATTTGCCTTGTTGACTGAACTCAGGAACTAAATCCTCACTCCAACTCTGAGAAAATCCGAGCCTTCGTTCTATTTCTATTTACAGGTGATGGGACCAAGTCAGGGAGGAAGCAGGCGACTCACCAGGCTTGTCAATGGTAAAGCCAGAATCTCTCTCTCTCTCCCTCCCTCCCTCCACCCACCCTCCACCTCTTCCCCCATCCTGTCCTCCATCATTTCACCATCCACTCCTCTAGTCCCCTGTCTCTATGACTCCAGATTTCCCCAGTGCTTCCCCACTCTGGCCATCTGCTCCTTCACCTGCCGCGCCCCACATATGAGCCCCCATCCTCTCCTAGTAGACGCCAGCCATAGACGCCAACATCATCCATGTCTCCACTGTGGGGAGGAAGCTGGGGAGACAGCAGGAGGCAGACACACTGGCACACAGCTTGGGTCAAGACATTTACTCAATGCTTTCAGATGTGGCCTCAGTGGCTCAGCAAGGGGGAGGGACAGGGAAGGGGCACACAGGGCACCCTTCAATCACTGTAGCTTCTGGAAGATGCAGCTCTTGAAGTGTCCATTGCCGGTGCTGGCTGATTAGCTGGAACTGCAAGAGACAGACACTTGGCACTTCATGCTGCAGACTAAGTACCCACCCACCCACACTGCCTCCTCCCCCGGTCCCCTTCCATTCTCCATCCTCACCATGAGGAGAAGTCCTGTGCTCTCCACTTCTCCATCGGTGTCTTCCCCTGAGATTTACGCACATCATTATTCTGATACCCATCGAAGTTTCCACAGGCCCCACACAGCAAGGCCGCATGGTCATCACCGACCATCACATCCAGATGCCCATCTGTTCCAAGCCAGACCTGGACCCCTGCCTTCTGGCGGACAAGCATGGAGCCATCAGGGAGCCTCCTCACAGACACAGATGTTAACACGCTAGCTGGGAGATCCACTCGGAGACCGTTCACCTGGTGGGGGGGAGGGGAGATGGAGAAGTGAGACCTGAGTGACAGAAGAGCTGAGGGACCACCACGCTGGCGTCCTCATCACAGTAATGATTCAAGCAAAGGGACAGGCAGGTGCGGGAAAGGATGGGGCCTGGAGAGGAGCCGTACATGAGGGATGGACAGGTGGGAAGACAGCTGGAGCTGTGTCCACACAAGCTCACTGTGCAAGCTTAACCCCACTGCAATGTGACTTACTAATGCTTTCAGAATCTCTGGGTTAATATTTGCCAGTGGACAGAAGACTGGATCAATGGATCCTCCCCAGATTCCGAAGCTGGGGAAGAGCTCCTTGGATCAGACAGATAAGTAAGCAATTGAGCAAACCTGGGGTCTCTGCAAGTTCTAGTTTTTAGAATGAAATAATGATTCAGCATGTCCTGGTTGACGCCTCTTCCCCATGCACCGTTTCCTCATGTCCTCTCATTGTAACCATTCTTGGCTATCGGCACAATCATGTGCTGAGTTCCTAGAGGAGATCTCGGCTATCAGTACAACCATGTGCTGAGCTCCTAGAGGGATCTTGGCTATCGGTACAACCATGTGCTGAGCTCTGAGAGGGGATCTCGGTACAACCATATACTGGGTTCCTAGAGGGGATGGCAGAACCTAGAAATTGACTTGGGGATCCCAATACTTCCTGTGATGCCAGCTTGGCAAATCATAACATTCCACCCCCAATACGAGAAGTGGGCAGGCAGTCCAGGCTAGTTCAGTGAGATGCAGTCCTGGGCTTGTGCAGGATCAGTTTCTGCTCAGTTTTGGTGAGGCAGGTGGCACGTCCTTCATGAAACCAAAACTATCTAGGAATGAAGTTGTAAGACAGGTGTAGGGACACTCTTCTTTAATCCCAGCACTAAGGAGGTAGACCTGGGTGGATCTCTGTGAGTTCAAGGCCAATCTGATCTACAGAGTGAGTTCCAGGACAGCCAAGACTACACAGATACATACATCTGGTCTAAAGAAATTAAAAAAATAGGGCTGGAGAGATGGCTCAGCGGTTAAGAGCATTGCCTGCTATTCCAAAGGTCCTGAGTTCAAGTCCCAGCAACCATATGGTGTCTCATAACCATCTGTAATGAGGCCGGGTGCTCTCTTCTGGCCCGAAGGCATATATTGTATACTAAATAAATAAATATTTAAAAAAAAGAAATTAAAAAAATAGACATTGGCTTCAGGGACAAGTCTGAAACCTAGAGGTGTGAACTGACAGGGTAGCTGGGGTTTCCCAGATATGGACCCAGTCCATTCATTTCCCCCAGGGCAGTTTGTATTTGTTCCCTGCCACTGGTAACCAGCGGAGGCTTGATTAAAACCAACAACAAAGCTATGCAGTTACTTAGTGTAAGAACTCAGGCCAAGGAGAGGGGGCCAGGCTAACCTCTGGAGACAGGTAAAAATCCAGAAAAAAGTGCAGAGACCTAGATGAGGGAAACACCACAAAACCACTGGATAGCCAGAATGAAGGATACCATGATAGGAAGAAGGAAAGCCCAGGGAAGACGTCTGTGCCCTCTGTGCCCAGGCTTACCCACACGCCGTTGCTTCGGGTCACAGTCACAAGTCCATCCTGGAAGAAGATGTGGACTTTGTCCACGATCTTGTCATTGCCATGGACATCAGCAACCACACGGTACCAGGGCACAGTCTTCTCGAGTCCGGGGCAGCGAGAAGAAAGCTCATAGACACCAGGGGAGCTGATGGCATTGTGAACCCCATCGAAGGTGATAAGGTTGCCTTTCACAGAGAGGGAGCAAAGACCTTTGGCTGGCCAGCAGTTCCGGACTCCCGCGCGTATCTCACAGACTTGGCCAGGTGAGCAGCCAGTTGGATAGCATGTCAGGCCGGTGCTTGGGGAGCAGAAGCAGCGTTCGCTGCAGTCTGAGGTCATCAGTGAAGAGTTCATCTGTGCACAGGAAGGGGTGGGTGGTGTGCATTCACACAGGGAGCCTGTGGAAGCTCCCAGTGAGAGACAGTGTGTGTCCTCTCCCCAATGGTAGGCTCAGTGATTCGTCAATAAAACTGCAGAGGCCAGCCTGTGACAAGCTCATGTGTTGACTCAAGAGCCTTGACAGTGTACCCCATCACTAGCCTGTCTCAGATTATGCCGTTACTATGAGAACAAGCCTGGGCTAGTCCATTGGAGGATGAACCACTGTATGGTACAGACAATGATTCCCGCCTAGGCCACTTGCCATGGTTTGAACATGGCTTGTTCCCCTGAACCATGCAGGACTTCAGTCCTCAAAGTTTTGTATTAATGGTGTGAAGAGATTGGAGACTTCATCCAACTATGGAGTTAAAAGTCAGGATTCTGGGGGCTGGAGAAATGGCTCAGTGGTTAAGAGCATTGACTGCTCTTCCAGAGGACCTGGGTTCAATTCCCAGCACTCACATGGCAGCTCAAAACTGTCTGAAAATCCAGTTCCAAGGGGTATGACACCTTCATACCAATGCACATAAAATAAAGATAAATAAATCATAAAAATTAAAAAAAAGTCAGGATTCTGGGTAGGTTGGGAAAGCATGAATAATCCTAGATGCTCTTGAAAAACTAGTATTAGCCTATGGCAGATGTCATTGTAACTGGAAGGAATATAGGGCAGAATGACTATTCATGAAGCACGCAACCAACTGGAAAAAGAAGCTGGGGTGAAGTGTGTCACAAGCAGATCCAGCCACAAGGAGGCTGGGTAAGTTTGATTTATCCAATTAGCAGGAAATGTTCTTTTCAAATGAATATAAACAGTAGTTATTTTAGGGGAAAATGACTAGGGCTGAGCGTTATGGAAAACACCTTTAATCCCAGCACTCAGGGCAGAGGCAGGCGGATGTCTGTGAGTTTGAAACCAGCCTGATCTGCAGAGCGAGTTCCAGGACAGTCAAGACTATGTAGTCAGACCATGTCTCAAAAACAAAAGTTCTTTTTCTTTGTTTCTGGTTTGCCAGAAGTTTGGCTGTGCAGATTCAGGCTCGGAGACCAGTGAGACAAGGCCATAACTACGATGTACATGGCTGAGTTTTGTAAAGAAAGCACCCATCCTCCCTGGCGAGGCTGAATGAGAAGGGAAGGGCCAAAGTACCCAGGATGAAGTGATGAGTATCTCACTACAATCCTTGCCTCTACGTCAGAAATAGGGGATATGTGGCCTTGGGAAGCTGGCCGCACTGGTAAAGTCTCTAGGATGGTATATCCAAGACAGAGGTCGTATGACTCTTTAAGGAGAGAGACTACATGTTGACGGGGACATGCAGCTGCTTCCATGACAACAACATGCAGCCGGGGGGCCTCCCCAGAGCCTGTGCCATGCACCTTGGTCTTCCAGTCTCCAAAGATGCGAGTCACACAAACCTCCGTTATCCACGAAGCAGTCCTCCCTAAGCATTGGTTTACAGGGACAAAAGGCCAGTGGCCTATAGCAGCATCTTCTTCTGTCCTGTTAGCTGACAGATAACTCAGGACTGGAGGACTCCTACCTCAAACTGCAGTGACAGAACTAGACACACAAAAGAGGCCACTGTTTTTAATCTATTCATTTTGTAGCGAAATAGCAACTAATTACATGAAGATATTACCACTATAGAAAAAAAAAACTAACTGGGGGAGAAAGGTGGGTGCTGGGGACATCTCCGAGTCTCCAGAGCCCACGGCAAGGCAGTGCCTCTCTATGAACTGGGATCTCTTTTCTGATCATCTTATCCTGATTTTTTTCCCCCAGACCCAAGACCCTTGACCCCCTTGCCCTGAGCTCCATCCTCAGGCCTCAGTCTTGCCATTCCCTCCCTGGAGAGCTCATCAGATATTAAGGATAGAAAACGGTGTCTGCTTCCTCAGGGGCCCTGGGTCAGAGGGGGTAATGGTTACAGATGGTGGGGATGAAGCAACCGGTGAAATCTGGACGGAGTCAACCGATAATGATATCGAATAACCAGGAATTTCCCGGATTTGATCTATTATCGGTCACATAATCCGTCGATTTCCTTCTCACAGCACCCACGCTTAATGAGCCTGGGGTACAGGAGCCGCTGTGTTTGCAAGAGAGTGGTTAGCAGGAAGCAACAGGCACACACTTCCGAAGAGCAGGCAGCAGAGCAGGCGTGGCATCAGTGGATGAGCCTCAGGAAAGGGCACCCCCACACACGTTTACACTCCTTCTAGAGCTTAATTAATTAAAAGAACAAAAAATTGAGAAAAAAAAAAAAACAAAAAAAATGTTTAAAATTTGGCAAGAAAAACCTCAGTGTAGTTATCACAGCAGAGGCATCCCCCTGGGTCCAGGAGCCTCTGAGGTACTGGAATGGAGGATGCTGAATCCATTATATACGGTGGTGTAGTTTTTGCATGTAACATACCATGTCCTACTATACACCTTAAACCATGCAATGCTACATAAACAGTGGAGTACTGACTAGGAGGGGACACTTGTCACACAGCTGGGGACAGGTGGTGGTTCCCCCGTGACCCCATCCTTGAGCAGAAACCCAGAGCACAGTAACTCTGATTGTCCCTCCAGCTTCTCCTGCTTGGAGTCCCTGCTCACCGGCATATAGTGGCCATTGAAGGTGCAGCCGCAGTGTTGGGCCGGAACGCACACACCCTGGGAGAGCAGAAAGTGATCGTCACACTCAAATCCTTCGAAGCACTGAGTGGTGCATTGGGTGAGGCCAGCGAGAGCAGCGCAGGAAACCTGGCAGGAGCGTGTGCAGACAGAGTAGTGGCTGTGGGCCGGACACTGGAGAGCTGTAGGGAGAGGAGGCAAGGGGGGGTCACACCTGCTGCAGGACACTGACTAACTTGACTTACTGACCTCCCAGCCCTGGCCAGGATGGGTGCTGAAGATGCGAACGCTGAAGGCAGTCCCCAGTGCTGCCTTACAAAGCTCGCATCCAGGTTTGCAGACAGCAACAGCTGCCATGCTGCATTGTGGGAGATCAGGTAGGGGGTTTGTGGAAGGTGAGAAATCTGGGACAGTCAGGCCTGGAAAACTGAAATGGCTGGGGTAGGATGGGAAGGTATGGAGGAAGGCAGGGCATTGATTAGATGGCATCGGAAGGCTCGGGCTAGTCAGGGTAAAATGGGGAGGCTCTGACAGTGTGGAGTTGGTGTTGGGGGGCAGGCAGAGTATCAAGTTGAGATAGAAGGTGTAAGCAAAGGGTCGGGATGGCACAAGAATGGGTTTGAGAATGGGGCAAAAGAAAGACACAGAGATATCAAAAATAAGGCACCAGGCTCCGAGTAATTGTGGCAGGCTGTTGTGACTATCATCAGGCGGCCACTGGGGCAGGAGAGAAGGATCAGGCTTGGGGTGAAGTCTGACTTCAGCTGGAAACGCAGCAGATGACCAGAGCACAGGGTGCACGGCCCTAGCCTCCTATTTTAGCTAGAGATGGTGCCCACAGTCAAAGCCCGACTGATTCGGTGCTGTTAGATGGCACCCAGGCACTAGGTCCTGCCTAGGAAACTGAAGGAGAAACGGCTCCTCGCTGGAGCACCGGGGACCATTGCTTTGGCATGGGGCATCTGAGGGAACCTGCTCCTACCTTGTAATTTGGAAAGAAGTGTATTGTTTTGGATTGGGGATCCATTGCCTGTGGCCTTGCCCTGAACACATGAGAGGCTACTTGGTCTGAGGGAGGGGGTCAGTGAGCCACAACTCAGGACTCTTGTAGGCTCTCAATCCATCCAACTCCCTTCCAGGTCACTGCAGGAAGGTGAGAACGGCCCTGGGAAGAGGTGGGTGTGAGGTCTGGGGAAAATGGACTCTTGACTAGAGTCTGAGACCCCCGGGTCAGAAGTAAAGAGGAAAGCCATAGAGGATGCTGGGGCAGGGCTGGAGGAGGTCCTGTCACAGGCAGGGATTTCTCCATAGCCCAGAAGGTTCCAAGAGGGGTCCCCAGACGCTCACGGCAGAAGTCTTCTGTCCTCCAGGGCTGCACGGTTGCACCAGCTGCCTGACAGGCTGCGGTATAGGCTGCCAGGCTTTGACAGAGGTATGTTTTGCTGCCCTTTTGGGCACACAGGTCAAGTACACATTGGCGGAAGTATTCCAAGGGACTCAGAACCTGGTGGCAGGCTGCGAAGGGGCCTTGGAGGTCCTGCATCTTCCCACAGGCTTCGTTTTTCTCATGCACTTCTCTCTCCTTGGCTGAGCACACAGGACAGCCTTGGGCCCCACAGCCCTCACCACAGCCCAGGGGGGAGCCTGGAGCTCGCCAGGCAGCTCCAAAGGCCTCAGCACTGGGGGCTAAGGCTCCACTGGGCAATGCAAAGTCATCACTCCGGTTCCCATTGAAGTTCCCAGAGAGGCCACAGATACGTCCACGGAAGGGACTAGGGATGGACAGAAGGATATGGCTATCACCATCGAAGAGAACCTTCAGCCCTCTCTTTGTCTGGAAGAACATGTTTCGGCTTTCAACAGTTATAAACATGGAGCCCACAACCACGGGCAGGTTCACAGCTTCACCGTCCACAGTCACCTGAGTGGAAAGGTCAGTCAGGTTAGAGGTCAGAGCATGCCGCTTAAGGGAGGCCCTTATTGTTCTGCCATAGAGCTTCATCTCTCTCAGACCCTCACGGCAGAGCTAGGGACTTTTTAGAGTGGAGTGAAGTCAATTCAGGCTCCCACGGTAGGGATGTCTCCAGTAGGTTACAGGTTGGGACCTTCAATTCCTAAAACACCTGGTTCTGTGGTGATCTCAGGACTCTTTTTTTGGGGGGGTTTGTTTGTTTGTTTGTTTTTTGAGACCAGGTTTCTCTGTAGCTTTGGAGCTCGTCCTGGAACTAGCTCCTATAGACCAGGCTGGCCTCAAACTCACAGAGATCCACCTGCCTCTGCCTCCGAGTGCTGGGATTAAAGGTGTGCGCCACCACTGCCCAGCCTGCTCTCAGGACTCTTTAAGTTGTCAGTGTCCCCTAAGACCTTCCAACATAGGGGCCTGACTCCAGATGACCCTATATGGGCCTGTGTCCCTCTATCAGAACATGAACAGGTTTGTGTCTACTCACCCGTGGCCCTTGAGCCAGGACCACAACATGGCCTGCCACAATAACCACCACTCGCTGGGTTTCACCTGCCAAGTTCTTCTCAAGCACAATGGAGAACCCCTCATCTCCAGGTTTCGGGTGGCAGACTTGTGCCAAGATGTAGGAGCAGGAGCCATGAAGGTCATACACCAGTCCGTCGGGCGTGGCATAATGAATGCCATTAAGGACCACCATTAGCTTAGAGCTCCTGGGATGGCAGGCACGGACGCCATCCACTAACCGGCACTCCTCGTGGATACCACAGGACTCTATCTGGCAGATGACCTGCCCGTCTGACTTACACACACAGAGCCACTCGCACTCAGGGCCTGGGTAGAATGTGGCACCCAGCTGGTAGTAGCGTCCATTGTAGAGGCAGCCACACTGGCCCACGGGCACACAGGTGTCACCACTGAGCACAAAGCCAGAATCACAGGCACAGCCCTCCTGGCAGGCGGTTTCACAGCCCTCTGGGGCCAAGAGGCTTGGGCAGCTCACAGGGCAGGAGTCACCACAGAGCTGGTAGTGACTGTTGGCAGGACACTGGAGGGCTGTGGGGACAGAGCAAGGGAGAGTCAGGCAGAGGCCGTGGTGGCAGCAGAAGGGCTAGTGTGTAAGAGCCTGCCTGGGACAAGCCGGTGCCCCTGGATTGCTATGGGATGTGACGTAGGACATATGACAGGGGCACTGATTTGGGAGCTCAGGTGTGGGGGTGTGACCTCGTCTTCCTGAGGAGGGTGTGCCATCCTGACATCTAAGGCAAATGCCATCTAAGGCAAGGGACTGTCTGGGGGATGCAACCACATGCATCTGACCAGAACAGACCAGAACCGACCATGGCTGCATTGGGGTGCATGACTAGGGACCCATGTGTGTGGGACCCCAGTCACCCTGACTGAAGAGAAGGAAGCTGGCGCTGACATGACTGGAGCACCTGCTGGTCTCTCAGACATCCTCCGTCTCAGGGTGCGACCCTGCCAGTGAGTATGTGATTGGGTGCCATTGACAGGGTGCCCCCGACTCAGCAGATCTGCCTGAATGTGCTGCCCCCACCTCCTGACTCAGTCTGCTTGGATCTGCCCAGGACAGGTCCTGATTCCAGCTGAGGGGTCTGACGTCTGACCAGTGTGGCAGGCAGTGTAGGGTCTCACTGGGCTCTCTGACTACTCTTGTGTGTGTGTGGCAGTGGTCCAGTGTGGGAGATGGTCCAGGGGCTTCCGACTGAGCATAACTCCCTTGGCCTCTGACACGCACTCCTTGCTGAGTAACTGTCACTGGTCATATCCAAGTCCACTAGCAAAATGTCCCTTCCAGAGTGGTCTGCACCCAGGCTGTGTGACTTCGAGTGTGTAGCTGGGTCCTTCCCTACCCCACTGGTGGTTTTCAGTATCAGTGTCAGGATGTATCTCTGACAGGAGGTGGTGGGGCTGGGCCTTGGGCTTCACTGGCCCAACAGGGCTTTTGTCTTAGAGCCCCTGGAAAGAGTTGGGGGAGACCCTGTCTGTGTGGAGCTGCAAGGGTCAGTACTCACGACAGAAGTCTGGCTTTCTCCATTCTCCAATTTGGGCTCCAGCACCCTGACAAGCTGCCACATAGGCGGCCACGGCAGGACAGAGACCTCCTGGATGGCCCTCAGCTTGACAGGCATCCAGCAAACAAGTCTCGAAGTACTGCGCGGGTGGCAGGAGGCTGTGGCAGGGTGCTAGTGGACCTGCGGGGTCTGAGATGATGCCGCAGGCTTTGGGGCCATGGAAGGGTTTCCGTTGCTCAGGTGTGCAGGGTTTTGGGCACTGCTCCTTCATGCACTGGTCGCAGCCTGGGGCTCCGCCCACCTTCCAGCTCTCAGGTTTCCCCACTGCTGTCTCATCGTCATTGGGATTTTTGTTGTAGTTCCCGCATAGGCCACAGAGGGCGCCTGCATAGGCTGCAGGCACACGCAGGCGCAGGAAATTGTCTTTGAAAGCCAGGGAGAGCCCCCAGGTGGTGTTTACCACCAAGCCTGTGCCGCTCAAGTGAACAAGCAGTCTTGAGTCCAGCTGGAAAGGCAGCATTATCAGCTCTCCATCCACCTGCGGATGTGGGAGGGCGGCGTGAATTGAGTGCTGTCTATACAGGCTCCAATCCAGTCGACACCATTCAGTATTAGTGATCTTAAACATATGATTGCTGGTTATCAACAGTAAAGACACAAGTAACATTTGTTCTCTATGCTACCATGAAGCAGGACTTTCAGCACTCCTCCCTACAGAGGAATAACGGAAGGCTGAGTCTGGGGAAGCCTTTACTTCCAGCCTTCCTGGTCTCACAGTGTAGGCTGAACCCAGCATCATGGTCCTGCCAAGCTGGGAATGGTCTATCCCTCATCTCTCCTGTCCAGCAGAGGCTTCGTGTCCCACAGCCCACTCACCTGTAGCTGCCTTGGCCAGCTGGCACTAAGGGTCAGGCTGAGGCCGTAGATATTCAGAGTGACACTGCGGGTGTAGCTGACCGCCTGGCTGCCCCTGTGCTCATTGACCACAGTGACATTGAAGTTTTCAGTCCCTGCGGGTGGCGTTTGGCAGGGTGCGCTCAGCAGGTACTAGCAGGTGCCTTGGAAGTCAAACCAGTGCCCATCGAGGGTGATGAAATGGGGATCGCCCCAGGCTTGGCACTCAGCTATGCTTGTGGGTTGGCAGCTGAGCTGGCCGGAGGGCAACAAGGCACACTTCTCATCTGGCCTGCAGCTGGCAGACGCGCACACCAGGGATTCACTTCCAGGTTCACAGCGGCACCTCTCAGAGCAGCTGGCATCAGTCCAAAACTCGGTGCCTGCTTCATAGTATGTGCCATTGACCCAGCAGCCACAGCCACTGTCCAGGGGAACACACTGCCCAGCACTCAGCACGAAGCCCTGGTCACACTGGCACCCCTCCACACAGGGCCCACCACATGCAGCTGGGGTTGTGTGGCGTGCAGGGGACGGGCAGCTGGCTGGGCAGGGTGGGCCACAGAGCTCGTAGTGGCTGTTGTCAGGGCAGGCCATCTCTGTGGGTGGAAGAAGGGCGGGAGAGAAATGAGGGATGGTGTTGGAGTGGCCTCTGGGCACAGAGTGGCAAGAGTCATCAGCAGAGACAGAAGGGGACAGGGAGACTACCAGATCCAGTGATGTGGTCGGGGAGGGAGGCGAGACAAAGTAGAGCAGATGGCGTGAAAGGCAGACAGAGATGATGAACTGGGGACACACGGAGACGGCCAGGAGACAGCGACAAACAGAAGCCAGCAGAAAGACCCAAAGGGTGGGAGTGGAGCCAGCCCAGCCCTTGCCCTGGTCCCCACCACTCACCACAGCCAGCCTGAGTCCTCCAGTCCTTTATTTGGATGCCAGCAGCCTGGCAGGCAGCAGCATAGGCAGCCAGTGACTGGCATAGAATGTCTTTGATGCCACCGCCCATGCAGACATCCAGCACGCAGCCCTTGAAGAAGTTCTCAGGAGGCACATGTGCATGGCAGCTGGTGAAGGGGCCCACTGTGTCAGGGGCCAGAGGTCCACAGTAGCCAGGACCCTCATATTCCTCCACTCGGTCCTCTGGGCACACTGGACAGGAACACTGACATTCATTCCAGCAAAGAGGGTCCCACTCTGGAATCTGCCAGCTGCCACCCCAGGTGGGTATTGAGGGTGCCGTTGTGCCATTAGGGAAGACTTGGTCATTTCGGGGGTTTTTGTCCATGTTTCCACAGAGCCCACACACTGCACCATAATAGCTACTTGACAGTACAACTTCCACCCTCCAGTTCCAGTCATAGATGACTTGAAGCCCGAAGTCTGTCACCAGAATAGCCTTGGAGCCCCCGTGGACCACTGAAACCCGTCCACCAGCCAGGTAGACAGGCAAGGCCGTCAGAACTCCATTCACCTAGAGAGAGGAAGCCAGTGGGGTCAAGGGAGCAGCGTGTGCGGATGGAGCTCTGCTGTCCCCATTCCTTCCCTCCTCCTGCCACGGGCTTCCTCCTGACTGACATGGTCACCACCAGCTCTTACCACTGGCTCTCAGGTACAAGCCCTGGCATCGGCATTTATTTTCGACCTCTCGTTTGGTCGAGATTCCCACTCCAGGCTCCGTCGGGAGCCTGAACAGCCATCCTACTGAACGTACCTGGACTCTGCCTATCTCCTTTTTGTGGATGGCGATGCTGGTGTTGTAGGTGGTCACAGTGACCCTCTTCACATTGGACACAGCAAGGTTGCCCTGGCTCTCATGCTTGGTGATGACCGTGAAGGGAGTCAGCCCGCCAGTGCTGACTCCAGGACAGACACTCCCTGCCAGCAGGTAACTGCAGGTCCCGTGGAAGTTAGTGTTCAGACCATCGAAGGAATGATAGTGAGGGTCTCCCCACGCCAGGCATTTGGCTTCATAATTGGGTATGCACACACCCTTGCCACCTTTCTCTGTGCACGTTTCCAGTGACCGACAGGTAACACCTTGGCACGGGTCTGTGGAAACAGGAGACAAGTTCTTGAGTGGCTGCCCACCACAAGCATACCTGTTCCCAGAATCTAACTAAGAACGTGCCAGGGATATTGACTCTGAACGTTGCTATAGGGGAGACCAGATTTCCAACAACTGAGTTGACACCTAAGTCCTAGGACCTCGGGTTGCTGTGAAAGAAAAAGTCAGAGAGATAGCTCTGCAGTCAAGAGCACTTGTTGCTCTTGCAGAAGACCTGGAATTGGTCCATAGCATTCTGGAGGACAACAGCCATCTGTAACTCCAGTTCCAGGGGACCAAACACCTCTACTCTAGTTCTTTGTTCTTCGGCTCAAGGCTTGGGATTTCCTGGTGAGATTTCTGGGTCCTGGGCCTCAACCTTTCACACTTGGACTCAGTCGCCAGCCTAAATCTCATGGCATGAGGTATTAGTTCCATTCACGGGCGGTGGTGTGTTCTGTCTTAGGAATCTCATTGCTTGGATACAGCGAGTGTCCATGTCCAAGGCTCCATGTTAGTGTCACTATATCCATGTCTCCATTTATGGGACACACATACACACTTAACAATTAGTTAGCTGAGCCACGGGCCTTAGTCTGGGACTATGTACAGACTAAAGCTTCTGCAAGCTTTAGTTTGGAATCAGTAGACAACAGCTGGGAGAATGACCATGTGTATTTGTCTGCAGGGTCAACCAGCCTGCTTTGAATCTGCCCTGAAGTTTAAAGTTCTGTTCCTCGGTATTATATAACGTAAGCAGAATCATCCTCTAGATCATCAACAGCTATCTGTGTGCCCTGTAAGTATAAAACGCACCCCCAAAGGGCTGTGGAAAGGACCCCACAGCTGTTTGTATTAGGGAGGCATAGCAGTGGCACCTGAGAAAGTTATGGAGCGAAAACAACCAGTCCTCCACAGTCAATAACCCCAAGACTTTGCCTAGTGGGGCTCCCCAAGTGGCCCACCTGTTAAACACCAGCTGTCATTGCTGTCCAGTCCCACCGTCCTGTGCAGACCTCCACCATCAAAATCTTATCCTGAGGGTCCCGCAGCCTCAAATCCCCTAAGGCTCCTTGACACCCAGACTGGGTAACCTCTGCCCTTGGCTCCGAAGTCTGACAACTCAATCCACAGGTCTTTGCACCTCTTACCATGAAGTCATGTCACCCTCAGCTCACAGCCCCTGTCCTGTGTCCCCCCACACCAGCCCGGCTCCACTGTACAGCACCTTTGGAGACGCAGGTCAGGATGCCTCCAGAGGGCTCGCACACCTGTCCTGGCTTGCAGCTGTGATCCTTGCACACCATGCCTTCTCCTGAATGGCACACACACTGTTGCTGGCAACTTTCAATGAGAACCAACTCCTCTGGCTGTGGGGACAGAGAGCATGCCATCAGTAACCAGAGGGGTGCGGACTCCGGCATGCCCAGCGTCCCGGGCAAAGAGAGCACTGGGGTAACAAAGTGGCGACTCTGCAGCGTGGTCCGTGGTTCGTTGTCAGTGAAGCGGAGGCGCAGGTGACCGTGAGGCCCAGCTCATTCAGCGGCTCATTCACTATTCGTGTAGTTGCCCATTCATTCCAAAATGGGCACTGTTTAGGAGAAATAGAGTTAAACAGTCAATGAAAACAAAGCAAGCAGGCAAAGTGGTGCGTGCCATTATCTTATCACTAGAAAGGAGGAGGCAAGAGGATGGCTGAAAGTTTGAGACCAGTCTGGACTGCATAGTGAGTCACTTAGGGCCACATACCAAGGCCATCAAAACAAAACAGCAAAGGCTCTGGTGCAGACTGCTCATTCCAGACCCAAGACAAGATGACTTAATATCTTTATGTCCCGCTTTCCTCATCTGCAGGCTGTAGATATTATAAGACAGGACGAGGCCAATATGACAGAGTTCATAAAATGCTTAAAGTATAGGTGAAAGCAGAGAGACGCCTGTTCAGTAATCCAAGCTGCTTCATAAAGGGGTAACGGTGAAGCAAGACTGGGGAAAAGACAATTCTTGTTAAAACTAAGTGAAGCGCAGGGGTACGGTGATAGATGTCACGATCTTTGTGCTCGATGAGCCCGGTGAAATATTTCACTCTTCTCGTAACATTATGTTTGATTTCATGATGAAAAGTGTCTGTGTGATGTGTATATGTACACAGGCCCGTGGACAGTGCCACTCACGCACTAGCTTTTATTATTATTGTTCACGGGAAGAGAAGTGCAGGGTGGGTACTGCTCTCAGAATCTTCACAGTTCTTTTTTTTTTTTGGTTTTTCGAGACAGGGTTTCTCTGTAGCTTTGGAGCCTGTCCTGGAACTAGCTCTGTAGACCAGGCTGATCTCGAACTCACAGAGATCCGCCTGCCTCTGCCTCACGAGTGCTGGGATTAAAGGCGAGCGCCACCACCGCCCAGCGAATCTTCACAGTTCTATAAACAAGGCAGAGTTTCAGCACACACACAGACACACGCAAACACATACACAAACACACATGCACAAAGACACACACACAAAGAGCCCCCCACAGGCAGACACACACAAACACCCCACACACAGACGAACACACAAACACACATGAACACCCCCCAAACAGACAAACACACACAAACACATACAGACACACACACAAATACCTCCCCACAGGCAGACACACACAAACATCCCACACACAGAGACAAACACACACATACACAGACAAAAACACCCAAACACACACAAGCACATACAAACACATACACAAACACCCCACACAGGCAGACACACACAAACACCCCAACACACACAGACACACAGACACACAAACACTCCCCCCACAAACACACACACACAAACACCCACACCCACAACCACAAGTTAAGGCAACGCTCTATGTGGGGGAGGAGGAGGAGGAAGCACAGGGAACAAGCAGCTGCTATAACATAAAATCTCCTCTCTGGTCATGGGACAGAGGAGAGGACACATCTCTCCTTGGGGCACTGGCAGCTGTCATAAACTGGGAATGGAGTAATGGCTCAGTGATTAAGAGCACTGGCTGCTCTTCTGAAGGACTGGGGTTTGATTCCCAGCATCCACAAGGCAGCTCACAGCCGTCTGGAACTCCTGTCCCAAAGGATCTGATGCCCTCTTCTGGCTTCTTTGCTGACACCGCCAGAAGCACACATGGTGCGCAGAAATACAAGGAAACAGAATGCTCACATAAAAACTAAAAATAAATCTTAAAAACTATTATAATCTAAGATATTGGAGGATCGGGTAATCCAGTGCCCCGCTCGTCAGCTATCAGACTCTTTTGCTGTTGTAGCTTCCTTGAGCAGAAGGACTGCCACTCAAATGAGCCAGCCAGATTAGGCTCGTGTCAGCAGCTGTGGTTTTGAGCACTCCATGGGTCTGCGGAGAAGGTTGGAGCTGGTTGGTCTGGCCCCTGAAGGTGCAGCTTTAGCCAAGACTTGGTTTTTACCAGCCTTTTCCCTATCACACATCTTTGTGAACTCTCGGTGACCCTATTCTCATTTCTAGACTGGGGGCAAAGTGCTTCCCCTGCTGGCCTGGTGGTGACTGTCACTGGCTGGTGCTGAAGAGGCGAAGCTGTGATTGGTGCAAACACCCCGCGAGGCAGTGTGAGCATGCTGTTCAGCTCCTCTAGCGAATCAACAGGCTGGCAACAGGAGAAAGCAGGAGACAGATGATGGAGTGCGGTGGCAGCAGAGACAATGGAGTGGCGGTGGCGGCCCAGCAAGCCTAGGTGTAAATGTTGCAAGCTTGACCGCTGAAGGAGAGATCAGCCGAATTAGTGGAGGACTGGACTGTAAAAGCAGCGGAGCAGCTGATTGACAGCTGAAGGATGGGAGCTAACAGCTGCAGTAGGGATAGAGGGTGTGGCAGGATTAGGAAGATGAAGGAAGAGTTCCAGAGAGCTTTGCATCCACGGAACTCCCATACCCCAGGCTTAGGGTGGAGCACTGACCGCTGTCAAGGGCTAAGGAACCCTTTACCTCTTAGGCCTTTACCAGAACCGTCATACTTCAAAGCTAAAGGTCTTGTTACCCAAGCCTGAGCCAGAGCTGTGGCATAAGAGGCCGCCACCAACTCTTGCCTGCTTGTTGCTCTCAAGCACCTGCAGAGACAAAGTGCCCAGGACCACCACTTGAGAAGCTTTTCCTTTCTTCCACATGATCTTTATCTTAGTAGAGCAGGACTCCACCAAGCTGACTGACAACGGGAGAGCCATCTTGGCCCAGGCATGGTACAAAAAGGTTAAGTCTTGACTTCAGGAGCCAGGAGAGAGTTTAAAACATCACGATTCATAGTGACATTTGGAAAGGTCTTTACCACCACCATGAGGGTAGACCAGAAGGAGGAGAATTAAGGACGGGACGAGGATAAGGTGTACCCAGTCAGGGTGAGGGGAGGGGACAGATGCGGGCAGAGAGACAGTCAGGAAGTTGGGTGGTGGGAAGGCTATAGTGCCGCTGGGTAGGGGTCGGTTCAGGAGGAAGTTCCAGGTTCTGTCCGGGTGGCTGGGTTCCTACCTCATAGTAGACACCATCATGGTGGCAGCCACATTTCTCCATGGGCACACAGCCTGTGATGCTCTGCAGGTAGTCGGTGTCACATTCGCAGCCCTCAGAACACGTGTCCAGGCACTCTATCGGTGTGGTGATGGTTGAGCATCCCAGGGAACAGGTGTCTGCGCAGACCTCATAGTGGCTGTGAGCAGGGCACTCCATTGCTGTGAGAAGGAGGCGCTGATGAGGGCACCAGGGTGGGGGCTGGGGTTCTACCCCTTCTATTCCCCAAGTTTCCCCTTTCCCAACCCTCAGTGTCCCATCACTCACGACAGAAAGTTTTGGTCCTCCACGGCTTGACGTGCCCTCCAGCTGCCTGGCAGGCGCTCACGTAGGCGTGAATGCTCCTGCAGAGAATGCTCAGGTTACCACCACCCAGGCAGAGATCAAAGACACAGTCTTTCAAGGGATCATGGGGGTCAATCAGCTTGTGGCAGTCAGCCAGTGGCCCCGTGAGGTTGGTGAGCAACCCGCAGAATTGGTTATCAAGATATTTTTTCTCCATGTCTGGGGAACACTTTGGTTTGCAGTCTTGTCCCGGTTTGCAGGCAGGCTGGGGCCTGTGGGAAGAGCCTGGCACGGTCTTCTGCCAGGAGTTACCCAGATCACTGGGACTGACAGCCTGTGAGCCATCCGGCTTCTGGAAGTCATTCTTGGGGTCTTCGTTGTAGTCCCCACACATGCCACACATGTGTTTATAGTAGTTATGGGGAATGGTGACACGCACGTTGCTGTTGAGATCATAGGACACATGCAGGCCAAATCTGGTCTTGATGACCACATCTAAGCCATGCTGGAAGGCCTGAACACTGCCTTCATCCAGAATCACAGGCATCTTTGTGGTCACGCCATTCACCTGGAAAATGGGGAAAGCCAAGGTTCAGAGGGCACGCTTTGAGGCAGTCAGTCACTAAATATTCCTAGTCTGTCCCTAGATGTCCCTGTCTTGACACTGAAATCTGGAGTGACCCCATGTTTCGGAGCCTTAGCGTCCATATTTGTGAAATATGTATAACAGTGTCTTATCCTAGCCAGGATCTTTAAATATGACCAAAATTGGGAAAGGGTCTTTGTTGGTGTCGTTAAATGTTACAGTCTTGACATGAGGACACCATGGATCAGAGTGGCCTTTAAATCCAATGACAAGTGTCCTGGGAGGTAGTGGAGTAGGACAGAGCCCACAGTGGGGGCGGCATGGGAAGACGCAGCAGTCAGGATGGAGGGTTGACTCTGTAAGCCTAGGGACATCCTAGAGCCACCAAAAGCTGAGGAGGAAAGAAAGCTCCTCCTCTGCAGCCTCTGGAGGGGGTGTGGTCTTGTTGCCATCTCAATTTAAACATATGTGATATTTAAAAAGTTGTTAAGTTACATTTTCTTTAGGTATTTACTTGTGAGAGGGAGTACAGACATGGACATCGGAGGACAGGTTTTGAGAACCGGTTCTTTCCTTCCACCACGTGGGTCTCAGAGATTGAACTTAGGTTGTTAAGCTTGCTGGTCAGTGCCTTTACCCGCGGAGTCAGCTCACCAGCCCAACGTGTTGCTTTAAGTCAGCAAGCTTGTGGCATTTTGTCACAGCAGACACCAGGGAACTGTTACAGGTCTCAGAGGGGAAGTGACCTCACCAGCCTGGGTGAGGGGATCCTTCCTTACCAGGTGACATGGTGACTGAGCCTGGAGGCACACACTGGTCTGAAGCTCAGCCCACCCTTTACTCCTCTGAGCCCTTGGGCAGGGATTCACCTGTGTTTCTGCTTCCTGTCTGTCTAGGGGGATCGGGCGCTTTGTCTGCAGAGTGTCATCTAAGGAATCTGATACACAAAGTGTGCGAAGGCTTGGGCTGTGGACTGCACCCCAGGGAGCCCCTCCAGTGGCCGGGGCTGTGTTTGCAAGTGGACAGTCAAGGGCACTCAGAGTTGCTGCTGTCCCTGTGACTGGATGCAGTCAGGCTCCATCCCTCACCTGAAGATCGCCTGAGGGCTCTGGTTCCAGCCAGGCCTGGAGGCGCACACCCGGTCACCACATATGTGCCCTTCCTCACATACACACACCCTGCACACTGGGTTTACAGAGCTGTGAGGAGTCAGGGAGGGGGGCAGGGGAAAGACATGCTCAGGCATGTCTAGAGTGTCCTAGACATCAACAGCCATTCCTCCCTAGCAGGCTGTCCATGAATAAGGACAAGTCATTTAACGTCTGGGCTCAATTTCTCCCTCTGCAGTGAGGGACAGTCACAGGGATGCTAGGGTTTGGTGAGACGTGAATAATGGACAGAGACTGTCCCAAAGTGTCTGGAGCTGCTTACTTGTCAGGTGCTAATCTGAGAGCTTGGGGCTCGTTAGGGAAGATGCTCCACTCTGTAGCCCATGCCCAGGGTATGCGACAGCTCTTGTACCTAGTGCTACCAGAACAATGGCTGTGTGCTGCATGTCAGCAGGGGATACTCCCATGTATCTCAAGTATCAGTCTCCATGTAAGACCCAATGCTTCCAATTCAGAAAAGCAACGGGTATGGGACAGGGTCCAGTATGCTGTTTCTTAGCGACACACATCCTGTTCTTGCTACAGGATTTTAACAGTCATGGGACCTTGTCTTCCAAACCAATGTACCTAATCATGGTGCCTTCTACAGCTACAATCTTACGTTAAATTGATAGTGAGGGTGCCAGGTGCTTAGTAGCCAATGGGCCCTGGGTCAGCATGCAAAATGGGTAGTTATTTTACTGTTGTTGCTAAGGTTGTTAAGGGACAATGAGGTCACAGATTGTCCTTTGTCCTTGAAACTTACTTATCTCTGAACTTTTCTATGCTGTGACTGTATCAAGTGCTCCCAATAGGTAGGAAACCAAGGAGGTGGCTAGGGCAGTGTTGGATAGAAATTTCCCTTGAATACATTTCATCCTTGAAGGAGGCTCAGGAGAACTCAGAAGTTCTAATGGAAAGCTCTATAAGACTAAGATCATAATAAGGACTAGCAACTTACAAGTCACAGGAAGGTCCTAAAACTTAACAGATTCACAAGGTCTCTCTTCCCCAAGGTTCTATAAGCAGCAGGGGCTGCTTGGCTTGGAGACTCTCCCACTTGCAGAACTAACTAAAGATGGTACAGAAAGCTCCAGGGTTTCCGCTTTCCTCAGTCATCACCTGTGCTTGAGTGGACTTTTGTTTTCCCACCTTTCTTTTGGTTGTTTATGCTCCTTGAGTTTATATTCCTTTATATAATCCAATAAGCTCTTGGTTCACCACATTAAACTTGGGTGGTAATTTTACATTGGTGTGTCATTGGTTCCATCTAGGAGTGAGCAGTGTGTGTGTGTGTGTGTGTGTGTGTGTGTGTGTGTGTATTGGGGAATCAACTGTGTCCACCCAAGAGTAAACATCTTTGATCTCGATGGCCTCTCTCTGCAGCAATACACTGCCCTCCTCACGATAACTATGAGCTGTATAACGAGGCTGTCCATTGACTGGTGGAGACCTGCTGGTGCCTAGTGGCTGCGGCTCAGAATGCCACAAGGCCTGTGTCTGTGATGCAGTGAGTAGTGTGTGTATCTGTGTCTCCCCAGACATAGTGTCATACAACAGGCAGGACGAGGGATGGTGTGAGCACACTGTAGGATGAGGAGAGGGTCAGTTAAGAATGGAGCAGAAGGAGAGACAAAGCCACATGGCGAAAAGCTCCAGGTCCCTGAGGCTTCCTTACTCTAGGATTTCTATCAGTATTTCCTCTTATTGAGGTCATACTTTCGCCAATACTCTCTTGGGCCTCTTAATACCCACATTGGGACTGAGCACCATCTATGCCATACCTCACACATCAACCCTCAAGACCCATATCTCCTCTAGGGCCCCACTTCCTCTCTACCTTGACCTTCCATTGATTCTGCTCCAGCTGCAGGGTGTAGTTGGCCACCTGGACGGTGATCATCTTGGTCACAGCGACTTGCTCGTTGCCCCAGAATGCATTCTCCTGCAGTACTGTGAACGGGTTCAGGCCGGGCCGGGTCCAGCAGGTTTGAGCCAGCACATACACAGAGGTACCCATAAAGTCAAAGTGGCGGCCATCAAAGGTAGTGTAATGGATAGATCCTGACACCCGGCAGGTGGCCGAGTCCACAGCCACACACCTGAGGATGCCATAAGACACCTTACAGATCTCCTGTGGGCTGCAATACGAGGCCTGACAGGACACTAGGCCCCCCTCATGACAGTGGCAAATGGAATTGCATTCAGGTCCAGGATAGAAGTCATCTCCCACATGGTGGTAAACGCCCTGGTATAGGCAACCGCAGGAGGACAGCGGTATACAAGTCTCACCACTAAGGACAAAGCCTTCATCACAGACACAGGCCTCGTGGCAGTCTGTGCCGCAGCCTCCAGGCACCGGCAGGTCTCCACAGGTCAATGGACAGCCTCGTTGACACAGCTCATAGTGACTGTGAGGAGGGCAGTTCATTGCTGCGGAGAGAGAGGCCATCAAGATCAAAGATTTTACTCTTGGGTAGATACAGTTCACGCCCCAATATATACACACACATACACACACACGCACATGCACACAAGTGTCCCTATTTCTAGAAACCACCATGTTCAGTAGGTCAAGGGAACATCCACTTCTCATCACAGTTTCTGAGCCTCAGATTCAGTTCTGATGTAATAGTGGGTTGTGGTCAATCTGTAGTATCTTAAATGATACTGCTAACATTGGGCATAAATGCTAATACATGCTACGTATTTTAAATAAGCTTATGCATGCATGTATATACAATCTATGCACTATGTGAGTAGGTTTAGCATTAGCTTCTTCATTTCACACTAAGGAAAGATTAGGTTAGTAATTTCAAATATTAAGTGCTACTTAGTAATTAAAGATAACTACTTATACTATGGTGAAAGCATTTCATATTACAACAAACAAACAAGCATGAGTCTGGAGATATGACTCAGCTGTTAAGAGCACTTGCTGTTCTTGCAGGGAACCTGGGTTTGGCTCACAACATGCATATAGTGGTTCACAAGGCTAAGTTCAGTCCCAGGGGATCAGATGCCCTCTTCTGACCTCCTTGGGCACTGTATACCCCTCAGTGCATAGACATATATGTGGGCAAAACACGCACACACATAAAATAAAAATAAATAAACCTTAAAAAAGCTTAAATAAACTTTAAAAAACTCAACCAACCAAATCAAACCATTTCTTACTTCCCTCCCTAAACCCTAGTCACTCAAACATATCTGTCAAGCAGCTCCACGAAAACAAAAGGAAGCTCCCAGCCAAACAGCCTGGCCCGAGCTCCCTGGCAGAACTTGCCAAACTTGTGCCAGGCTCTGTGGTCACGCCTCAGTGCCACAATACAATTGAAACTGAAAAAGATGACCAAACCCCAAACCCACTGAAACCAAGCCAAAAGAACACCCCCCACCCCGTGCAATTGCAGTGCCCCGTGCTACGATACTGTGGGCTCTAGAAACATTGGTTGTTTAAATGGAAGTAAAGTAAAATGAAGGAAGAGGGAAGATTCTGTCTCTGGGTCACAGCAGCCTCATTTTAGACATTCCTGTTGTCTTTGGCTGACAGCTGTCCCTGGCGATAAAACTTGGGATGGCCAGGTGTAGCTGGCTGTAAGTGCTGTTGTCTATGACTTCTTAGTGTCGTGTTGCTATCCCCCAGCTCCAAGGCACAAGCACAGCCCCTTCCTCATGAGACCTTGTAAGAGGTTAAAACAATGTTACTTGTACATTAATGAACAAACATCAGGTCCAGCCCCTGGTTGCCACTTCTGGTACTCACGGCAAAGTTTCTCACTCCTCCAGGGATACACAGTGACCCCTTCAGCCTGGCAGATGGCGGTGTATGTGGCCAGTGTGTCACACAGTGGCTTAGTCTGGCCCGGCATGCGGCAGCTATCATAGATGCATTCAATGAGGGCGCTGTTGAAGGCGGGCACTTTCCAACATTCCCTGAACTGACTGTCCTTGTCACGGAGGATCTTGCACTTCTTTCTGTTCTTCATCACTACCTCGCTGCTCATATTAGGACACAGAAGTTGTTCGTCTGTTCTGCAGCCAGGCTTCATTGTCACCAGCCACTTCTTCCCGAAGTCTCGAGGGTCAAGGGCTTCCCCTTTACTCTGCAGGCCCAGGTCATCACGAGGGTTCCCGTTGAAGTCACCACAGAGGCCACACACAGCTTTAGCATAGTTGCTGGGCATCTTGGCAGTCACATGAGTGTCCCAGTTGAAACTAACGGTCAGGCCGAAGTTTGTGCGCAGGACAGCGTATTTGCCTTTGCGGAACGCCACGACTTTTCCACCTGCAGCTTGGAAAGGCAGGTAGTGAATGACGCCGTCCATCTGGGCAGAGATACAGGAGGACCATCAGGTCAGGGTACCTGTTTCGCCCATCTCCACAGTGCTGATAGCACTCTAAACCTTTTCATTTAGTCTGCTCTCAAGACCTTGGCGTTAAGTTGTTTTAATACACACTGTTAACTAATAGTCAAGTCTTAGGTACAATGTCATTAACACCTGTTAATAGTTGTGCCCTCTCTTTATTTAGAGCCGTTCCATACCGAACACTGGGGGATATAGAGCCTGGCGTATGGAAAGTTATGCTTCCCACTTTTTAAAAAAATATTTATTTATTTATTATGTATACAATATTCTGTCTGTGTGTATGCATGCAGGCCAGAAGTGGGCACCAGACCTCATTACAGATGGTTGTGAGCCATCATGTGGTTGCTGGGAATTGAACTCAGGACCTTTGGAAGAGCAGGCAATGCTCTTAACCACTGACCCATCTCTCCAGCCCTGTTTCCCACTTTTGATTTGTCCACTGTCCCTATCCCCAGGTCACTGGCTATTACCCAAACTTCCTTCTGATCATTATGAGCTATTGTGTGAATATCCAACAACTCATTCACACACACACACACACACACACACACACACACACACACACACATTTTAGACAAGGTCTTTCTATAGCTTTGGCTGTCTTGTAGCCCATAGTCTGTCACTATATAGACCAAGCTGGCCTCAAACTCACAGAGATTCTCCTGTCTTTGCCTCCCAAATGCTGGGATTAAAGGTGTGTGCCACTACACCAGGCACTGTCTGTCTGTTTGTCTGTCTGTCTATCTATCTATCTATCTATCTATCTATCTATCTATCTATCTATCTATTGAGACAGGGTAGCACTGGAACTAATTGGCCTGGAACTCAATATGTAAAGCACTAGATTGAAACTCAAGGATCTGTCTGTCTCTGCCTCCTGAGTGCTGGATTTGGTATGTGTCACAAAACCTGCCTTTTACCTTTTTTTTCCCTCGTGGGCAAGAGATGTCTGTAGACTTGACTTTACCTGTAGCAAGACTCAAGAATGGCAGAGATGCTATCTTTGAACACAGGATGGGACTTACAAACGCTATTTGGGAAGGCTTGAAGCAGGACACTTGGCCTCTAGGTATGAATTTGTGTGTGAAGGGTTTTTCTTTATCCCCTGCTGAGCCAGCTGGTCCAGGGCTCTGGGTTTTCAGTCCTACCAAGTTATGAATAGTACAACCAACAGCCTGGAAAGGAGTGACGGGGTAGGACCCACCGGGGGAGAAAGAAGGTGCAGAGACGAGGCAGCCAGGCAGGCCGGCTTTTCTTTTGTTTGCTGAAATTTCTGAGACAAGATCTCACTATGTGTAGCCTTGGTGCTGTGTCTGGGTGGACAGACATTGGCTCAGTCTGAGAGGCTGAATGAGGACCTCCATTTACTCCCTAACCTAATGCTCGCTTTGCTCCGGAAGTTTCATATCCCATGGTACCTTGCTCTGTGGACCATTCCTAAGAAAATACATCAGTCTCTCATTCCAAAGTTTCTAAAGAACAAACCTAGGGACCACCAATACCTGCTGAGCATGAAGACCTCTTTTAAAGATTCTGCAGATGTGGATTCATCAAATCTCCACAACCACCCAGGAAATGGTGGCTCCTGGTGGCAAAGAAAGACAGGCTGGGGGACATTCCACAGAACTGCTATCCCAAGAAGGGATAGCAGGGGGCTAAGTCTGGGGTCTGGACCTTAAGCCTAAGATAGCTGAATGATGGTGCTGGAGAGATGGCTCAGAGGTTAAGATCACTGCCTGTTCTTCCAGAGGTCCTGAGTTCAAATCCCAGCATCTACATGGTGGTTCACAACCATCTATAATGAGATCTGGTGCCCTCTTCTGGCCTGCCTTCAGGCAAAATACTATATACATAATAAGTAAATCTTTAAAAAAAAGATAGTTGAATGAATCCCACTCCATCCGTCTTCACCCCAACCACTAATCTTTCATAGGATTTTTGCCCTTCCCAGCCCCATGGCCGCTGCACGCACCAGCACTTTGCCTGGGTAGTCCCGAGGCACCTCCAACTTCACTCCGTAGACCTCCAGCTGCACAGAGTGTACAAAGCTCACACTCTGACTTCCCCGACGTTCGTTTTCCATAACCACTTTGAAGTCGGGGAGGGAGGGGTGCTGGCCACACGAGGTGGTGAGCATATAGGAGCAGGTGCCCATGAAATTGTAGCTCCGCATATCCAAGCTCCTGTAGTGAGGGTCTCCGGACGCCTGGCAGCTGCGGAAGTATTCCGGGTAGCAACCCAAGAAGCCATCCTGTACCACACAGTGCTCCCCAGGCAGACATCCTGCTGTGTCTCTGCAGATCACCTTCAGGGTGGCTGCATCACAGGTGCAGCGCTGCCGACATAGGTCATCAGCAAACACTTCCTGACCCGGGGCCAGCAGGCGGCCCTGGTAGGTACAGCCACAGGATGACACGGGCACACAGCGGCCACGATTGACCACAAAGCCTGGAAGGCACACGCAGCTCTCCACACATGGGCGCCCAGAGCAGTTGGTCGGTAAGGCTTCTGAGTTGCAGGAGGCTGGGCAGGCAGGGCTGCAGAGTTCATAGTGGCTGTTGGCTGGGCAGATCAAGGCTGGAAGGTTGGGGAGAAAGGGTTGGGACATGCTAAGGTGGGGGCTCCCCCAGACAATGCTGCCTTCTCAGAGCTCCACAACCCTCAGTTAACGGCACTCAAACCTTCTTGATGCTCAGGGCCCAATGGTCTCCCCCCCCACTCCATCCCTGAACAACCAATCAGTGAGCAAATCCCGTGACTTTCACTATCCGAGCCCACCCAGAATCTGTTTCCACAGCCCATGAACCCCAGCAGCCTCCCGCCTGATGCCTTGGTCCCTTGTACCAAATCTGTTCCTCACAGCAGTCAGAGGGACTGGGAATGCAGGATTAAACCATGTACAGCACCCCCACCCTCCCATGGCTCCATCTGGGGGTGGGGAGCAGAGTCCTCCCTAGGCCCAGGGGTTTTCCCCATCATTTCCCTGCCCCCTCCCATTCCCCTCTTGAATCACTCTGCCCCAACCTCAGTGGACTGGTGCCTGGTTCTGAGAGTCCCATCTCAGGCCTTTGCACTAACCATCCCTCTGCCACTGTTACCCTTCCCTCAGACAGATGCTGCAGGAGCCCAGACAGCCTGGACTCCAGCGCCAGCTCTCTCCATGCCCGTGTGTCCGTGAGCAAATGGCTCTGGGCTGTGAGTACCGCAGGCTTGCCAGGACTAAACGGGATGGCACGACCCTGGTTTCCCTGGTTAGACGGACTGAACAACGGGTGCTCCACGCCATCGTTGTGATGGCTGGACTCCGTTGCCTGGCTGCGCTCTGGGATCTAGGGCCACTGCTTTCCAAAGTCATCCCCGAGCTTCCCCATACTGTCATAGGACCTCGCTTTCTTTGTCCTTTGAAGGTATTTCATAGTTGATCCATCTGTCCCTCTCCTTCCAGGACATGGATTCTGCTGGAGTGGGGACACAGCCTGACTCAGTCATGCTGAGTCTTTAGCAGCCGACCACAGAGCCTGAGAGATGGAGAGGTGGGGAGGGGCAATGGACTCATTGGTTTTTCCTTTGTCTTAAGTTTGGACAGACTCAGAGAGGGCGGCCTCATGGACAATGGGGTATTGTAGTGATGCAGGCAAGTCCAAACAGTGTCTTTGTCTCCCCCTGGACTAACCACCCTTCTGAAGTCCTAGTCTTAAACCCTGGGCCTGAGGCCCCTTCTTCCCTCACCATCCTTTATGATCCAGCAGCATTTCCCCGAGCAGCCTACAGGCCACAGACACGCTAGGGTGGCCTCCACAGCGCCAGCGCAGGAGAGGCTGTTGTGAAGACCCGGCATGTTTGCTGACTGACTAAATGACTGCGTTAATGGATGGGTACCTGGCAGGTAGTCATCTGGGGCCTAGTCCAGGGGCAGGGGCATCACGGGAGTGTAACACGCAGAGGATGACCACTGGTTTTTATCTTGTAACTTGGCAGCTATCTTTCCTGCCATACCTCTGTGGTTCCCTGGGTCAGGAGCCCACATCCTTCTTCTCCCCCTTCCTGCCTATTCTGGTCCCTCCCATAGATTTCAAATCGGACCTTCTTTTTCTAGGAACCTCCCCCCATAACTGCACAGAGACCTTCACTGGCATCACGGATCCCTCTAGAATGCCCGCTGTCTCATCCTGCACCCCTCTCCACCTACTCTCCAGCTTTGCCTCAGCGCCCTCTCATGCCAACCATTGGATCCCGTCCCTGTTCCTTGGGCCCGCTGTAGCAGAGTGGGGGTGTCTTGGCTGTCAGCGTTCTCGTTATTGCCTGTCACTAGGCAGAAGCACAGTCAGAGCTCAGTTACTGCGCAGATTCAGCGATTCCCTGGGCCCTCGCCAAGACCTCCCTACCCTGGCTGTAACTCACGGCAGTTGGTTCGTGACCGCCATTCCCGCACAGAGATGCCCAGGTCTGCACAGGCTCTGGCGTAGGCGCTGAGGCCATGGCACAGGGTGAGGCGCTCCCCTCCAGTCACACACATGTCGTACACACACTCTTCCAGGAAAGGCTGGGGGTCCAGGAAGCCATGACAGTCTGCAAACGGACCCATGGGCAGAGTTAGCATGCCACATAAAAGGTCTCCTTTAAAGAGCTTGGACTGGCTTGTGGTGCAGGAGGGACAATTGCCGTAACAGCCATCATCACATAAGAGGTCCCCATTATCCAGCTTCCAGCTCTTGGTGAAGTTCAGGACGTCAGAAGCTTGCTTCCCATCAGGCATGCGGAAGTCGTCAGCAGGGTCTCCATTATAGTTGCCACACAGCCCCCACACCTGGTCTTGGAAGCGCTTGGGCAGGCTCACTGTCAGCTGGTAATCCCAGTCAAAGGTGACCAGCAGCCCAAAGTCCAGCTCGATCATGCCTCGAGTTCCACTCTGGTACACACGCAGGCGACCTTCTCCCAGGGAGGCCGGGAGGCTTGAGTACTGGTAGTCGATCTGCAGAGAGGGGGCAGAGGTCAAACAGGCCCCTGTGTAGTGTCCCCTTCAGCCCTCACCTCCTCTACTCAAGTCCCCAGCTCTAGGCACACAGGGCACCTTCCTTCCTTCCCTAGGGATGCTGACCCTAGGGATGCTTTGTCTTGCACCTCTAGTGGCCTGAAGTGTTCTTCCCCAAGATGCAGATGTGCACGAAGACCCCACCCCCACCCCACAGACACGTGCTGAAAGCCGCCATATTGCTGGCCCTGCAGAAAGGGATGATGTGACCCCAGATGGAGCCTGTTGGGGTTCATCTGAAGTAGGAGCACTGACTCCCCACTTAAAGCAACATTTTGTGTAACAGAAAGTGCTCTAGGGAACCCAAGCCACACCTCGAAAAGCAGTTTTGAAGTGCGGTTTGATCACCTTGCTGGCCACCTTACGATACTCCCTTGTGACAGAGGAGGTCGCTTTATTCAAGACCCAAGGTGCTAATAGAATTGCCTAAGGCATCCACTCCACTACTGGGTCCTTACAGCCCTCGTAGGGTCTTACCAGCATAATGCTTCGCTGTGCTGAGTCTAAAAAAGGCTTTTAAAAAAAAGATTTATTTATTACTTTTTATGTGTACGAGTGTTTTCTGAATGAATGTGAACCACAAACATACACAGAGATCCACAGAGGTCAGAAGGTGGCATCAGATCCCTCGGAAATGGGCTTAAGAGGCGTGGGTGCTGGGAACCGAACCCCAGTCATTTTTAAGTTCAACAAGTGCTCTTAACCGCTGAGCCGTCTCTCTAGCCCGCTTTCTTCTTTGGCCCCATTTTGCCTCTTAATTTTCTCTCCCCTCCTCAGACGCTCTCTCTGCCTCTACAGATGAACAGCACCCTTTGACAGGGGACCAAAACAACAAGATAAGTCCCCGCATTGCGAGCACCCCCAGATGAGAAAGACTGTCCACAGTGGCCAGGCCACACCTTCGGGTGGAAGTAATCACTTCATGGGAACCAGATTGCTCCCCTCAAGAGCTGACGGCAGTATCAGTGTCTCCAGAACTGGTCTAGAACCAGAGTTGAAAAGATGAACACTCAAACCAAGCCTAAGCACCAGTGCCTGCTCTCTCTCGGCTGAGCACACTCAGCAGAGAAGCTCTTCTGTTTCCTGACTCTATAAGCTTGCAAAGTTCTTGCCATTCCTCTCAAGAGAGACTGCAAGGTTAAGTCTAATTGTTCTACACCAAGAGGCCACGTGGAGTGAATCACCCCACCAGCCATCTCTTCTCTTGGTGTATTTGGATGATAGTTAGAGCCAAGGGTTTGGCTCCTTTTTTCCCCCTGTAGTTTAAACCCATGGGGAACTCACCCGGGCAATGCCTATTTCTCCATAGGACAGGGACACAGTATGGTTGTAGGCATGCACGGTGACGAAACGCACGTAGGAGACTTTGCTGGTGCTCCGGTGCTCATTCTTGGCTTCTACTTTAAAGGCCAGCAGGGAATTCTTGGTGCTGTGCAG